CCAACCCCAAAAAAAAAAAAAAAAGAGTAGATTGCTATACAGCAGCTGAAAGGATTGAGATTCCTTTATGACATCAGCAGAGACAAAGAACTGTCACAGTAGTTGACTCCTTTGGTATCTTAACCAAGAATGTGGAGATTTTATGTGAATTAGGTTTTAATGTATGATTAGACAGCATCATTTTTCTTAAGATATAGGCAAAAGTTGGTTTTGTTTTCATCATAGTTTCCATATCAGAAAACTCCCTTGACCCAACTTCCTGGCACTTCAACAATATTTAACCCTTTGCATTCAGAGACATCTCGCGGATTACCTACCAGCAACTTGACCACACTTTTTTATGAAATAGTGAAAAACGAATCACTTCATATTAAATTGCATAATGTCGGACCCAGTTCTTTTATTGTAATGATAATTTGGTTTGTAATGGGATTTTGGACATTAAGGAGCTTATGACCAAAAAAATCAAAATTTTATATCTTATATTTTTCTAATGTGTGGTAATGTGTGAAGCAGTCACCAACATGCATTGCAGGTTCATTGATTCATGTTGTGCAATAGTAATTTGCTTGACGTCTTCCACCTGGTGTTTTTCTCTTTGAGCAGACAATGCAGTCTTGTTTTCTTCCTCCCACATTCATAATATGTAATTTATTGTCCAGTCTGTGCACCACTATGTATCTCTTGTTACATAATGCCAGCTGTTTTTTTAAATGTATATCTCAGTATATATTCCATCTCTTTATTTGCTTTTTCATGCAATTTGAATGGAAAACTTCAAGGAAACATACATTTTTGAAAAATGTGCACTGGCATAAGTTTGTACTGTATAATCACCAGCAATCTGAGTACAGAGGATTAAAAGATTTTCACATTGTCTGCTGCAGCTTGTGGGTATACCCACAGTCAATATGCTTGCTCTTGTTGTTTTAAGTTAAGGGATTTGGGAGAATGTGTAATATCCAGCCAGTCACAAGATTTCAAGGGCTAAGGATAGTTGTAGGCTTATTTGCAATTCTTACCCTGATTAATTTATTATTCAAGTGACAGGAGGTTACATATCCCCTCAAGCCTTGACAGCATCTGCAAGCATCTACCAGTCATGTCAAGAACTTCTAGATTGCTTGGAAATCTGCTCCAGAGGCTCAGGAAGGGGGAACAGGCTGAACCTTTGCCGAGGAGCCATCTTTTTATTTCTAAAGTCTTGTGGCCAAAATCTGGCTTACAGTCATGTTTTATTTGTCCTACCTGATTTTTTTTTCCAATTTTGTATTCGTTGTCATAAAAATCTGAATTTCCAGCTTCTCTTGAAAAGTCAGAAGGTCTGGCAGCATTGGGCTTGTATAACTCCCGTGGCGACAAGCCAGAAGTTGAGTAGAAACTACCCCTTTAGATAGGACATCTGCTTTCCAGTTTGTCCCAAACTCTCTCCATGTCTTTCTACTATTACACATGACCAGCTTCACTCAGATTACCTGCCTGTCCCTTGAAGGCATTTCAGTTTGTGACCCAAAGAGGACTTCACTTCTTGGTGTATATCCTGTGCACAGGTTAAAACTGCATACTATGGATCTGATTTGCGGGGCTGGAGTATCCTCTACCCTGATACAAATATGCACCAAATTATGCACATGATCCCAAGCAAGTTCTGGCCCTTCTCATCTGAATACCACTTGTGTTGATCTTGTAATTAAAAAAGTCTTTCTGTGATTTTTTTTTTTTTTGAGCCACAAGATCCCAGTTTACCCCACTGTTTGACTTTGAAACCGTTGATCTCTTTGTCTTCCTGTAGGTGATTAAGTGTCGTAATGAGATCATGCACTCTTCAGAAATGAAAGTGTCTTCTGCATGGCTTCGAGATTTTCAGATGAAGGTCCAAAATTTTCTGAATGAATTCAAGAATATCCCAGAGATTGTGGCAGTATACTCCAGAATAGAACAGGTGAAAATCATATTTAACAGTTCTGGCATATAGAAATAAGGGGAAAAAAACAACCACAGTCACTCATTTAGAACTGGAAATTTATTAGATCTAAACTAAATTTTAGACTATAAGTAGGCGAAAGAATGCTGATAGGGAATCCGGAATTCTGGTGGGCCAAGAAGCTTTTCTGTCATAGTGTGGAGTTAAAATGAATCCAGTTAGTGGTGTTTAATTATCAGTTATTTGAGTAACCAATTGGAATATCTTTCCATGAAACCAGTTCATGTACTTGTGCGGTAATCCCACAGCTGTTGACATCTGACTGGGCTGTTCACATCCCCGAGGAGGATCAGCGAGATGGGTGTGAATGTGAAATAGGAACTTACCTGAGTGAGAGCCAAGTCAATGAAATAGAAATGCAGTTACTAAAAGAAAAACTTGAAGAGATGTACCTTCAAGCAGAAGAACAAGAGGTGTTGCCTGAAGAGGTAAAAGAAAAGTATTACATTTTCTGTGTGAGTAAACAAGAGAGGTACTAGGGAAGAAGCGTAGCTCATTTTAACATACAGCCAATTGTGTTTGTGATTTATAAGTCAAATAATTTTCAGAAGTGAGTATTTTTTGGGCACAGATTAACATTACCTTTTAACAAATATTTTCACTGAATGAGCAAACATTTGAGTGTTTAGTCTATGCCACAAAGTGAGAAAACATGGTAAGAGCTACAACAAAATTCTGAAAAAAGTGTTCCGGAGCTTTTCTGCTGATGGAAAGATTGCCAAAAAAGGCTTTGCCGAGAGGGTGCTATTGAGCTGGGGACTCACAGAATCAAGTAAAAGTTTGGCAAATTAGCAAGGGGCAAAGGCCATTCTTGGCAGAAGGCAAAGCACTTGCAAAGGCATGAAAGAATATGTTGAGCCTGGACAATGACAGGCAAGCATAGGAGGAATGATCGGATATGAGGGTGGTAAAGCAGGCTGTAGCCATGTGCTACAAAGTTTTCTATGCTGCACCAAGGGTTTAGGCCTTATTCCCAAAAAGCAGCGGGGAGCCAACAGATGCTTTTAAGCAAGAAAGAGTGCTAGGATCAGATATAGCTTTTAGAAAGTTAACTGTTGTTGTTGGAGATTGGACAGGTAGCTAATGGCTAGCCAGGAGGCTCTTACAGTTGTGTGAGAGTGAGAGAGAGGATGGAAACTAGAGGCTGTGAAGGAGGGGCCAGGCTCTGGAGGAATTGCCTGTGCAGAGCTGATGGATCTTAGTGGCCAGTTAGATCACCTGGAGTGTGGCATGAGGCTGGAAAAAGGTGGTGGGGAGAGGGGTTTTAAAGGCTCATCAAGGTTTCTAGCTTAGGATCTGCAGACTAATTATAGTCTAAAGTCATAGGGAATACAGGAAGAATGAATCTCCTTTGTTACATGTAAGGCATAAAAAAAAAACTAACAGTAGTAGCCAGGTGTGGTATTTTACGCCTGTAATTCTAGCTACTCAGGAGACCGAGGCAGGAAGATCCCTTGAGGCCAGGAGTTTGAGACTAGCCTGGGCAACATAGCAAGACCCTACCTCTTAAAATAATTGTTTTAATTAGCTGGCTGTGGTAGTGCATGCCTGTAATCCCAGCTACTTGGGAGACTGAGGCAGGAAGATCACTTGAGCCTAGGAATTCGAGGCTGCGGTGAGCCGTGATTATACCACTGCAGTAAAGTTCAGAAGTATTCCAGCACTGGCTGTATTAGAATTGTAGATCACCAGGGGATTTTGGACAAATCATTTCACCTCTCCATTCCTCCTTGCCCAAGGAAAGTAGTTTTGGTGGTTACCTCATTAAACATAGGGGGAGTGTTGATTGAATGCAGAGTGTGTATTTCATTCATTAAGCCATGCTTCTTACTGGAAAGTGTGCCTGTTTATGGTATATTAACTGTTCTGCCTTTGGTTCAGCTTGGCGAGTTCCTTTAGTACAAGGACTGGGTACCACTGTTTTGGGGTATGTCATAATTTAAAATTATGAATTGGAATGTTAAAGCTTCTCTTTTCTAAGTCTCTGTGTCTCATCTGGTTTTGTTTTAAAATTGCATTAGAACAAACCCAGTTTTCTTTCTGCTGCTGCTTTTACAAGCAGAGTAGAGCAAGAGAAGACATCTGGGGGACCAGGCTCACTGCCTCTGAGTCATCAGTAGCTCTGTCTTCTCTCTTGGGGGCGCTATAGTTCTTTTCCTGTTTGTATAACAAAGAGCAAAGTAAATCAGTAGTAGACAGTTGAAAGCTGGAAGGGAACCTGACAATCTTACCGTATCTCCTACTTTCCATGTGAGGCCAGGGCCCCAAGGAACTGTCACTGGGGTATGAGGGCTAGCCCAGAGGTGCCCCCTTCCTGGTCCTGTGACTTTCCACCTGCTGGGCTGCAGCTCTTGTATCACTGATGAGCTGGCAACTGTAAATGTTGAACCTTCATTATCTCTGTTTTACAGTAGACAAAATAGGGATTAATTTGGCTCATCCTCTGGGTCACAAAGTCTCTAGGTCGAGTTGATAAATTCTCATTTTTCACACTTTCTGTTCAGCAGACCATGGCATTTCTCCCAATATTTCAATTGATCAAAATGTAAGTGAGGATTGATTGGCATGTTTTCCCAAAGAAGTTGAAGGTCGGCTTTCCACATGCACGGAAACTTGCCGTCTTCTGAAAGTTCAGTACTGTATATGATTATTCAAGTTCTTCAGGGTTAGTCTCCAAAGTCAAAGAATTTGATAAAACCAGATTTCAGTAAATCTAAAATGCCATCAGTTGTAAAACACACCATTATTTCACTTACTTCTAAGAAAGAAAAAGATGCTGCCAGCTTGTTATGAGAAACCATCAGTGGTAAGACGCATTCTCATTTGAGGTGTTAGAATATGAAAAAATGTGCATCCGGGAATCAAGAAATATAGCGATTTTATTATGACCACAGGACTTTTGTTGTAGATGCTTAATGAGACCTGCTTCTGGTAGGGTTGGAAAGCTAAGTTGAGAAGAATAGCTGATGATGGTACTTTAGTGTGACAGTTCCTACAAATGCATTGTGGAACGCCATGGAGAGCTCACCATCTCCATTATTTTCTGTTAGTTTGACCAGCCTTAATTGTATAGAACATCGGAAAAAGGGACTCACATTAAAACATACTGTACATGTGTCTCTGTGATCATAAGATGCTTTCTACTTCAGAGCAGAATGGGAGCAGCGACTGCTCGGGCCCCTGGGGACCCATATGGAGTTTGTGTCTGCTCCAGAATTTGACTGCCACCGGAGTGCCTTCACATAGTCCTGCCAGCTCTTGGTGCACTCTTAGGATTTGAGAGTTTAAAATTTCAGCTAAAGAACACTGAGTGCAGTAGATAGCTAAAAAACATGTAAAGAATGTTCACAGGCTTTAAAATCATTACTGATGGCTGGGCTTGGTGGTTCAGTCTGTAATCCCAGCATTTTGGGAGGTCGAGGCGAGTGGATTGCCAGAGTCTGCAGGTTCGAGACTCACCTGGACACCTTGGCGAGACCTCATCTCTACAATAAATAAAAAATTAGCTGGGTGTGGTAGCGGGCGCCTGTAGTTCTGGCAACTTGGAAGGCTGAGGTGGAAGGATCGCCAGAGCCCAGGAGGTCGAGGCTGCGGTGGCTGGGAGTGTGCCACTGCACTTCAGCCTGGGTGACAGAGTGAGACTTCAACTCAAAAAAAAAAAAATCATTACTGATTTCTTAAACCCTGGTAGAGGAACCACCTTCAGAGACTCAGGGGGAAGCTCAGGTAGAAGGGGCAGTGACAAAGTATACTTAAGGCCATCAGGGAAAGGATAGAAAAATGACACTTCATTATATTTCAGAAATATTTACTGAGCACCTACTATGTGCCAGACACAGTCCTAGAAGTTGGTATGCAGCAATGACCAAAACAGACAAAGATCCCCGTAGTGGGAGACAGATAATAAACAGCATAAGAAGTAAATGATGGGGTACAGTAGAAGGAGGCGAGTACAATGTAGAGCTGAGAGTGGGGGACAGGAGTGCCAGGGTGGCGATGAGAGTCACGTTGCAACAGGGTGGTCAGGGTGACCTTATCAAGAGGGTGAGACTCAGCAGTACCTTGAAGGTGGATGGACACGTTGGGAGGAAGAGCATTCGAGCAGGAGGCAAATGGAGCAGAGCAGCTGGAGTGGAAGGAGGGGAAGAACAGTGGGTGAGGAGGTCAGAGAAGTGACAAGGAGGAAGCAGGTCCTGCTGGACCTTGTTAGCCATTGGAATGACAAAAGGAGCCCACTCTGGTGGTGAGGATGTCTTAGGGTGGCAGAGAGGAGGGGCTGAGATAGAGGCTGCTACAGTTATCCAGGTAAGAGATGATGGTGGCTTGGGCCAGGGTAGAAGTGTAGAGGTATTAAGAGTGTGGGCGGATGTGGCGTGTGAAAGAAAGGAGTCAAGGCCAAGGCCAAGAGTTTTGGCTTAAGTGGCTGGAAGAATGAAGGTGCTAGGCATCTTTTGCCTCGAACGTAGATAGGCACATAGTAGACTGACCCTCAGCAACTTAAACATTGAATGTAGGAAGGAAGAGACAAAGCAAAGTGCTTTTGGTAGATTATTGCTAATCCTGACAAGAATCCTAGGTGGTGTTGGTGTCATCATCCTTAATTTGCATACATAGTAGTAAGCTCAGAGAGGTCAAATGTCCTGACCAAAGTCACACAGCTAGTTAAATGACAAAACTGGGCTTCAATGTCCAAGTCCATATGACTGCATTCCACAATTTTTCCAGTACTTTCAGTTTTTCTATCTATACTTCCTCTTTTACATATAAACGTGTAGCGCCTTCCCCGTTCTTCATACTTTTTTTTTAAAAAAGCCTCCTTTTAACTCTGCCTCCCCTTCAAGTAAAAATAATCACCCCAGCCAGAACACCTTTCTAGCACATTTCAAGAGCAAATACGTTTATTGCATTTCACAAAGGGGAAAGCCGAAGTTCCAAGAAATGTCAGTGCTGAGGCACTCCTATTGAAGATAATGAGAATGGCTATTTAGAAGAGAAAAGAGAACTGAAACCTTAAGCAAAGCAAAAGAAACTAAATGAACTGGAGCAAACTGGTTCTGAGAGTCTGCAGAGAGGGTCAGGAGGTAATAGCACAAGAATTGCAGCTCCCAAGTTACCAAGTGAGAAGGTCCGCACAAGGGGGAGGCAGACCCCACCGAGCACCAGAAATCCATCTGGGAGCACGTGTGTGGGGTGAAAAGACCCGGCTGATGCAGTCCTAGGCATCTGATGAGAGCCATGGGAGGACCCCGAGTTGTGTCTAGGGTACCAGGCACGGTCAATAAGAGCTAACAGTGCATCCCCACAGTTATTAGTACATGCTGTGAATAATGGCATTGGTGTGATCTTCATTTCACGTTTCTATGGTTTCCAGATTTATTATTTAAAGCCCAGGCATCTTGCAGGAGCTCTAGGCTGGTTTCCAGCCATGTAATAAACAGCTCCACCTGAAGGGCATGTCCCTGGTCTGCTTACTAACCAGTCTGAAGCCCTTCGGTCATCTTCAGCTCCTCCCTGGCCCTCCCTGCTCCCCATTCACCCTGGCCGCAGCCTTAGCCGACCTTTCCCCTCCCTTCCATCCCCAGCAGCCTTTGTCCAGCATCTGGCTGTTTCATTCATTTACATCACAATAACCTGAGTATTTGTTGTGGTTTCATCCTCAACCTACTGCATTAGAATCAAGTGTATACTTTCTCCTAGGATAGGTACTCCATCACATTCCTTCTTTAGCTTTAGATAATCTTGGCTTAGCTGGGAGTTAAGGATCCTCCATTTAAAGACATTCCCCACACCCCAAAACAGGAGTAACTCTCATCTGTGTACAATGACCGATGAGGGTGTTCTGGGACCAACCCAGTGAAAAACACTTCCATGGTACTATTCCATGAGTGCTTTTATTCACTTGAAGGCTGAGAAGTATGTTGCCGGTAGGAGTTTAAATTGGTCCAGTCTCTAGATGGCAGTCTGGGCAAAATCTATTAAAATTTTGCCAAAATTTAAAACACAATCGAATTCCATTTCTCTTCTAAAAACAGATAAGACATTTACCAGGTTAGTTACTGCAGCATTTGTCTTAGCTGGAGGACTGAAATAATTTACTAAAATATGAAACATCCATAACTGGAATACTAGTCAGCCATTTAAAAAGATAATGAGCGGCCGGGCTCGGTGGCTCAGCCTGTAATCCCAGCACTTTGGGAGACCGAGGCAAATGGATTGCCTGAGCCCACGGGTTCGAGACCAGCCCGGGCAACTTGGCAAGACCTCGTTTCTTCAGTAAATAAAAAAAAAATTAGCCAGGCATGGTGGCGTGTACCTGTAATTCCGGCTACTTGGGAGGCTGAGGTGGAAGAATCACCGGAGCCTAGCAGGTTGAGGCTGCAGTGGCCGGGAGCATGCCCCTGCACTCCAGTCTGGGCAACAGAGTGAGATTCCAACTCAAAAAAAAAAAAAAAAAAAAAAGACAATGACGCCACACTTTTTTTTTTCCTCTTTTAATTTTTATTTTGAAATTATGGGGTACAATAGGCCACTCTTTATAATCTCATATAGAAGAGATCAATTGAAGAGCAGTGTCTAGCATCCTGCCATTTGTGTTTTTTAAAATGCATATGTTCAGGCCAGGTATGGTCATTCATGCCTGTAATACCGGCACTTTGGGAGGCCGAGGCAGAAGGATTGCTTGAGCCCAGGAATTTGAGAACAGACTGGACAACATAGTGAGATCTCATCTCTAAAAAAAAAAAATCAAAAAATTAGCTGAGTGTGGTGGCACACACCTGTAGTCTCAGCTACTCAGGAGACCCGACAGAAGGATTGCCCGAGCCCAGGAATTCAAGGCTGCGGTGAACCATGATCATGCCACTACCCTCCAGCCTGGGTGACAGAATGAGACCCCGACTAAAAAAAAAGTGTATATGTCCACATCTAACTGCATACAATATCTCTGGAAAAAACACAAGAAATTGTTCACTGTGGTCACCTCTAAGGAGAGGGGCTGAGTAACCAGGGACAGGATTTGGAAGAAGACTGACATTTTACCTTGTACCCTGTGTTAATTTTGAATTTTGTATCTATACATTTATTACGTGTGTGTGTGTGTATGTGACTACTCGAGCATATATGTATATATCCATGTATATGAATGTATATTCAATAACATGTATAGGTACAAAATTCAAAATGAAAGAACTTCATTCTATCATTTGATTTGATTTGATTTTGAGGGTTTTTTATGGAGACAGTCTGTTTTTTAAAATGCCCAGGCCAGAGTGCAGTGGTGCAATCCTAGCTCACTGCAGCCTCGAACTCCTGGGCTAATTTTTTTTTTTTGGTAAAGACAGGGTCTCACTATTGTGGCCCATAGCCTCAAGCAATCTTCCCACCTCAGCCTCCCAAGGGAGGCCAGCCTGTTTTTATATGTACATGTTTGGTGTTTTTATATGTACATACATACGTGTGTGTGTGTGTGTGTAAAATGAAGCTCTTTCATACAAATGCAGGAAGTTTTAAAGCGAAAAAGACTTGAAGAGACAAGCAAACACCCCCTTGTGTAGTCCAGAACCAGTTATTCTGGGTTGTGGAGTTTTTCTGTTTTTGTTTTTGTAGAGGATGCTTTGTTTTAAAGGGGCTGTTAATAGCTTTTGTTTTTCAGACCTTATGCCTCTAGCCAGTGTTTCTGTTTCTTGGTAGCCACATGAGTGTCCAGTCTTGGAGCTACTAAGGTTTTCATTTGAATTTCAAGTCTGCTATCACACTGTCCAAGCTGTACATTGTATGGTTTCCTCTTGCAGCTCTCAAATCGACTAGAAGTGGTGAAGGAATTTCTGAGAAACAATGAGGATCTTAGAAATGGTCTTACAGAAGATATGCAGAAGCTAGACAGCCTCTGTCTACAACATCAAAAACTGGATTCAAAGGAACCTGGGAGACAGACGCCTGAAAGGAAGGCCTGAGGTGAGGTTAGGCATATGCCAACGTCAAATAAGGACAGAATAGCCTCATCTCTTTGATGTCTGTTCTCTCATGTGAGGCCATAATGAACACACAACAGTCTAATCTGAAGTTTCCCTGTGTCCTTATTATTTCAAAGAAAGGACACTGAGCTTTGTGCGCTTTCCCTAATTAATGGTTCTCACATCTGTGAAGGAATTCAGCATCAACTCCCTAGCAGCTTTGTTTAGCCAAATACAGCTGAAGTCACTGGTCTACAATTAAGTGAAATCAACTTCATAACATAATCAAAAAGCATTTCTGCCTTAAAATGATGCCCTTGATGCCCAGCTCCTAGTGTGGTGTCGATAACAACTGGTTAGTTTCATAAGGAAACTTGTTAAGTAACTATTTTTAGTATTTTACTTTTTTTGCACTCACATGAGGAAAATTAAAATATTTTCTTTCATTTTAGGTTGCCCTTTGACACAAATCAGGCATGTTCTGCGAAATTCAGCATGGCTTCCACCTCAGACATCCTTTTCCATGCAGAAGGAAAAAATTACGAGAGTATTATACCCACACAAAAGGGAATTCTTGTTGTTTTGTCCTGGACGTTCCTTTGACTCTTTGGGAGTGTTTTTTTTAATATTCATGAACTTGAGGATGTATAATCTATACTTGTAAAAAAATTAGATACTCTTGTGTCAAGACTTGCTACCATCTAGGGATTTTTTTGCTATTTGAAAGGTGAGCTGCTTTTCTGGCCCTGAACTGTAGCTGTGTAGCATAGTAAAGGCTATGTGGAGCCAGGCCTGTGTCAGAGGCTCCCACAGTGTTCTGCACCACCGGCAGACAAGTCCTGTTCCTGCTGTTTGCAAGTCTCACTCATGAGGACACCCAAGGCTAGGCTGGGACATGAATGTGGGATAAAATTCCTTCCTTTTTAGAAGAAGACAGGAAGAAAACGGCCTGAGAGACCATTTTCTAGCTGTTTCCAGTTAGTACAGCAGTTACTGCCAGGTTGGAGCAGCTTGAGGCTGTGGGGCGCAGGGGTGGGCCCAGGCTGGTCAGTGGAGGACTGGAGAACAGTGACCTGACTGACCCGTGCAAGGGGAAGGCCCAGACCAGCGTCACACACAGGGATGTCAGGGCAAAGCTTCTCAGCCGGTGGCTTGTTTATGGTACACTTACGAAAACTCTTATGGAAACACGGCTATTTTTGTTCACTTATATTCCCAGTGCCGAGCTCAGGGCATCCTCTCTTAGCTTAGGAGTATTCATAGGCCTAACGTTGGTTATACCGTTAACGAAGCCTGATCCTTTGTTATAAAATTTAAGAATGAAAGTTCAACATACTTGTGGAAATTCAAAGACATCATTTTCTTTTTTTTTTTTTTCTTTTAAAAGTCACTTTATTCCTTTTTTTTTTTTTTTTGGTCTTGGCAAACATGGAAGGTTTTCCTAAAACACTTTAGAGGAACTTTCTGCATGCATAGCTGTCTGGCTTTTTGTTACTGTTGTCATTCATGTTACGTTGTTGAGTTATTGAAGAACGAAAGTATTTGTCTTATTCTCATCTTAAACGCTTCATAGAGTTATTGGGACTTGATTAATGGATCAAGAAAATCTTGGAGGAGTCCAGAGTCGGGGTTAGTCTCCGGTTCCTCCTGTCATCAACCCTTCAAAGTTCGGACATCCCCTTGTTTCCTATAGCTGATTGTGTCACTGTATCGATTCCCTAGGTCCAGCTTCCTTCATCGACGTGTCATTGGAAAGCTGGCACAGTGGGTGCTTTCCCACACGGGCCTCCTCCTGGTGACTTGCCTTCACAAATTTTCTGTGCATCGCAGCCATTCTTTTTCTAACTTTGCCAATGAGAGCTACATACATCTAGCTGTTTCAAGTTCCTTAAGACGTCCTCGTTAAATGCTTTCACTCTCTGGTGCTGAGCAGCTCTAAGCTGTTGAATAGCCTTTTTGTGCTGCTGAAATAGGCACACCAGTTTTTCTTCATGTCGCTTGCTCTTATGCACAGCGCAATTCTGCTCTTCATAAAACGTCAGACACTGCTGACAATACTCATCATAAAGCTTCCTGCTCTGCTCTGGCTGGGTTTCCCAGACCTGCTCTAGGTTCAGCTAAATAGCTTTGAGAGCATCGGTGTTCTTTTGGAAACTCATTCTGCTTTCATGACAAATGTCCCTAAAGACCCCCTCCATTGGGGCCTTGTCAGCTTCCTGGCTAAGCCTCATCTTGGGTGCTATGGCTGGCTGTCCTGAAATGAAGACCACTCCTGAACCCTTCCAACGAATCCCAGACAAGCCCCCATGAAACAATGCAACAGCTGCAGAGCCCCCGAGAAGTATTACAGCTCTCCTAGTTTGGTTAGTGAGCCAAGGTCCAAAAAGTGTCCAATGCCCTGTCGGCTCCGCAGCTCTCTTCAGCTCGGCTGGTCCAGCTCTTCCAGTCTGGCATGTACAGCTCTTCCAGCTTGGCAGTTCAGGAGTCTCAAACCCCAAAGACATCATTTTCTTTCAGCATATTCATACATTCATTCATACTTTCTCTATTTCTTTTGCCCCAAAAGCCATCCACTCCTGGCTTGGTCCTACTTGTTTCCTGAACCACACAGACACTGCCTCCTTGTATGCAGTGGCCTGTGGGTTCAGCCTCCCTCTCACCTTCCCCGTCATCTCATTTCCAAGGCCTGTGGTACTTAACTGTCATACTGCCTCTGGACCTTCAGGGACAGAATTACTGTGTTCCCACTGCCTGGAGGAAGTACTCCGTCCCAAGCCCAAGGGAAGATGTGCTTCTCCTGTGCCTGTTCAGCTGCCGGCCCAGGACGTCATCTGTAGAGAATGGACAGAGGGCGGGGGTATATTTGGTAAATGGATTCAGTGTAATTCTGTAAAACCCAGATGAATGCAGATGTGCCTATAACTTGCTACTTTAATCTTTTCAGTTACTGTTTGGTCTTTAGTCTTAAATTTTCTTTGTCCCTTCATTTTGTGAAGTTCCTTGAGAAGACTTCAGTAGTAAAATAAATGTCATTCATCTCGCACCTCTTCCAAACTAAGAAACTTAATGACATATTTCCTAGCTTCTAGATAAGAGATACAAAGTTTGAGAGTACATGGAATCTTGAGTCATTAACCAATTTAAGAACTGAGTTCTAACTTTTGAAGCTTTGGGTTATGAGCACGTCCACTTAATACCTGTGTTTAGTTGGTTTTTCCTTATGTATTCAACAAATATTTATGCAGGGTCAACCATGTGCCAGACACTAAAGTAGATGCAAATATAGGGATGTGTAAGGTATGGATGATGGTATATGAGCTGTCATCTTACTGGATTTGTCTGCTCTGAAAAAGATAGTGTTCACGGCCAGTCACTAGTGGCTCATGCCTGTAATCCCAGCATTTTGGGAGGCCGAGGCGAGAGGATTGCTTGAGCCCAGGATTTCAAGACAAGTCTGGGCAACATAGTGAGATGCTGTCTCTACAAAAAACTGTAAAACTTAGCCAGGTATGGTGGCATGCACCCGTAGTCCCAGCTACTCAGGAGGATTACTTGGGCACAGGAGTTCAAGGTTACAGTGAGCTATGATCGCACCACTGTGTTCCAGCCTGGGTGACGGTGAGACCTTGTCTCTTAAAAAAAAAATTAAAGCAACCCCCTCGGGCCCCCTCCCACTGTGGGAGCTTTTCTGTCCTCTCAATAAATCCTGCTTTCTAAAAAAAAAAAAATTAAAAGTATATTGTTCAGAAAACTTTATACTGGCAACATTTAATTACATTGGAATAGAGAAAGGAAGACATGCCCAGAGAGGGCTTTAAGGTATATGTAACATACACAGAGACGTCAACTGGTAAACATCTCTGGGCACAGGGGTGTGTGTACAGTAGGATGTGTACAGCCAGCCAGCATTGTTAAAGTGTAGCACATCTGTACTACACAACATTATGCAACCATTAGAATGAGATAATGCTGCAGTGAGGTAATAAGAATTGGTGTTCACCGTTCACCGCAGCCTTGACCTCCTGGGCTCAGGCGATCCTTCCACCTCAGCCTCCCAAGGAGCTGGAACTACAGGTGCCCACCACCACACCCGGCTAATTTTTGTTTTTTGATTTTTTGTAGAGACAAAGTCTCACTATATTGCCTAGGCTGGTCTTGAACTCATGGGCTTAAGTGATTCTCCCACCTTGACCTCCCAAAGAGCTGGAATTATAGGTGTGAGTCACCATACCAGGTCAGAAAAACAAAATGTTTAACAATGCATAGCATGCTATAATACTCTCTGCATTTAAAAATAACAGAGGTCTGGAAAGTTGTGTGTTGTTCCCATGCGTTTTTGCTGTTTTAGATAGAAGGAATCTGGCTTCTTTATATATTCCCATGTGAAATTTTTTCTATAACAAACATGTACTCGTGTTATTTTGAAAATTTTTAAATCAAAAATTTAAATTTCAAAATAATAAAGAGAAATGAGCAATATAAATTCAAACTGCAAGATGTCTGTGTCACATTTCCTGGAATACATTGTAGTGCCACTTCCAGGGGCGCTTGTTAGTCGTCGGGGTCATGGGAAGAACTCTGGGGTCACTGGGAGGAAGCCCTGTGAGTGGCATGCTGTCTGCATAGGGCTGTCTTTGTTTTGTCATGGAATGCCTTGTCTTCATCCAGCAGTATGGTTTGCTCTCAGCCCCTCACTGGGACACAGTATGTGGTTCATAGTTTTGAAAGAATTAGAGGAGAAAAACAGTCTTAGCATTACAGTTGCAAAGATAAGACACTTCTTGGGATTTAGCCCGTTCTTTACCAAAGAGCTCAGAGTACCAAGATGGAAGGCATTCATATTAGACTCAGAATAAAACACCTGAATTCTGAGAAATGACTAAATTGTGGTGGTGACAAAACTGGAAAACTAGCTCTGGCTTCATAAAGTAGCGGTAGAGATCTGTAGACAGTTTCAGTTAAATTGCCAAGGTCAGAAAGGATTACGTTTGAGAATTCTGGAAGATTATGAAATGATTGTTACTCTAATGATTTGAAAGTTTCATTTTTATGAAAGAATTATATGGCTTTAAACACTAATATCTTAGGCAACGAAGGGTTAGATCTCTTAGTTGGGTGGGCATATTATGAATTAGATGTTGTAAGTGGAGCGTTGCATTCAAATGGAGAGGTGTTGCAATCTTTGGGATATTTTCTCTAATCGTTTTGACCTCTAAATTATAAAGTAGGGTGGAAGGAAATAATTATCGGCAGAGCTTACCTCCTTTTTCCTTACTAGGTTAATCAGGAACCTACCTTCACTGAATGTCTTCAACAGGCAATGAATGGCCTTTTATAAGCCTAAAAACATTAATTTCTACTTATGAAATAGTGAAGTGAAAAAATGTATTTTAATGTTTTAATAAAAATCTTGATATAAGGTTATGATTCATTTCATAACTTTAAGAACTGGTTTTTATTACTGCATTGTGGTCTGAATTCTCTAAAAACATTAACACCAACTATTCCAGAGATTTCTGCTTCTCAAACCGATGCTCTATAATATATGCACATAAGAAATGACCATACAATGTAAACTGAGCATTTTGAGACATCTCTTTGAGAAGATAGGCAATGATCTCACTTGCTTTATTACTTTCTACTGAGTACTAGAAAGGCATGAGAATTCTTATTTTAGAACCATGTGTGGTAGCCAGCCTCCAAGATGGCCTCTAACAATGCCTGCCTTCTGATACTCCCACTCTCATATTGTCCCCCCATAGTATACTGGGGTTGGTCTGTGTGAACACAGCAGAAGTGATGGTATGTCACTTCCAAGGTTAAGCTACAAGAGACTAGGACTTCCATTTTGCCCCTCCTTTCTCCCTCACAGCACCACTCTGGGGGAAGCCACATCATGTCACAAGCAACCCTATGACAAGGAACTGAAGCGTCCTGCAAACAACTGAGAGAGAGCTTGGAAGTGGATCTTCCAGCCCCTTCTGAGAGTCCTTGAGCCAGAAGGACTCCACTAAATCACTCCCAGATTCCTGACCCTCAGACATTGTGAGAGAATTGTTTGAAGCTTCTAAGTTTGGGGATGATTACATGGCAGTAGATGACTGATACACTACACTTTCCCATCATTTGTTTTCCCCTCCTCTGCAGAAAAGTGAAACAGAAACTGCCCACAAAGAGGACTTCTACTTAGATGCCAGAGAAGATAAAGGAGAATTTTCCAGAGTTCCACTAATGTGCCTGTTTTGTCCTGATGTCTTCAGAACCTTTGATAGTTTTGTTTCTTTGCATTTGAAATATTTATCAAAAGCAGGGTGGAAGCACTTCTAAACACCTACATTGGGGTTCCCTGGTAACTGCTCTGGAACTTCCTGCATTCTCCAGAGGCAAAGGAGGGGGAAATTTGGGTCAAATCCCCTCTGCTGTGGAGCTCATAGCTTCACCCCCCGACCCTTCTCTTTTCCCTCTCCTCATGCTCCCTGGCTTAAAAGAAGTCCGGTCCACCCACAGGATTCCTAAGGTTATATTCTGGGCTACTGGTGTTGACCACTGATCCTCACCTTCCAACCCTAGCTAGCATCAGCAGAGGGTGATAGGTTAACTGGTCTTACAAACTGTCCTTTCCCCCATTTTTAAGGATAAGGAAAGGAGAAAAGAAAGTAATGCTGTCGTTTTTACTTTCATTTACCTAGAGGGGGTTTACAGCAACCATCCTTGGAGTGGTTTATCCTGTCTCCATGGCAAATTCTATAATTGCTCTTGGTCACCAAGAGATTCTACATTCTAAGTACAATATTCCTTAAATCCACACTGGATTTCAGTACATCCGTTTAAACCCACTTCAAAACATTTCCCTCAGCGTGGCTGTACCAAGTTTTAAGTCATGTGTGATACCAAGCACCCCTATTTGCCCTGGATACTCAAAACAAGTAACAAAAACATGTTCCCAAGAGAGGTTAAAAAAAAAAAGGCTATGAATTTGGGAACAATCTTAAGTGTTTTTCTTTCCAACAAAATCTTCCTCCCCCATAGCAACAACTCTCGAGCTGCAGTCCCCGTGAAGAGGAAGACCAGCCAATTCGCCATGCCTGCTAACAAACATTTTATTTCCAGTTCACGAAATAAGCAACACTCAATAGCTTCGGTTCCATGCCAGTTACTATTTTTTTTATTGATCAAGCTGCAGGTTTAAGTCAGATTCGCACTGGTTTAGTCAAAGCCAAAGTCTTGGGTGGCCTTCAGGAGAAATGATAGTGCTCGCTGCAAAGATTCAATCAGGCCCTCCCAGTCTTTAGGAAGCTTGTTTCGGGGGCTGAGGGCTGGGGCTGGCAGAGGTGGCGGCCGGAGGGTGGCCGGCTTCAGCCGCGGCGGCCGACTGGGCACCGCCGCCATAATGGTAGCGTAGGAAGCGGCCCCCTTGCAGGCTCTGTGCCACCACGTTGGTGCAGTGGCACGACATCAGCAGCAGGTTTCGGGGCTGTACGCGGTAGGCGAAGCGCATGAAGGCCATCGAGTAGAAGAGGAGCGCTGTTGTCATGCGGCCACTGATGATGTCCGGCGTTGCCCTCAAGTCTCTAAAGGCGGCCAGCGGAATGCCCCAGTTGGCCATGGGACCCCAGAAGTGTGTGCTGGTCAGGTAATCCCGAAACTCCTTGGTTCGCACGTAATCTCTCGTCTTCCGCCATAGTGCTGCCATCCCCGCCATGATCGTGGGGCCTTAGCCCCGCCAACAGACAGGCAGCAGACCACAGTGACGTCGAACGCCGCGTCTCCAGCAAACAGCAAACGCTGAAGTGGAGAGCGCCCGCTGCCTCGCGCCTTCGTACGACTGCCGTAAAGTACGTCGGCTCGCACGTGCCACTGTCGTACTTTTGTGCGTGGGGCTGGAAGGGCGTGGTTTGGCCCTGACACCTCACCCGACTGCTTGTAGGCTGTGTGATCGCACGTACGACTGGGGGTGGAAAGGCGTGGCTTCGCCTACACGCCTTTGCGTACCTGCCGTAAGGCGCTTGGGATCCCTCGCGCTGCTGTTGTGCCTTTCAGCAGGGAGGAGCGCGCCCTCGCCCTTGAGCCTTCATGCCACCTGTGGACTGACCTGAAGTGCGTAGTGTCCCCTCCCCCATCACCCCCTCTGCCTCGGCCTTTGTCCCTGCCATGCTGCAGGTGCCACCGAGGAAGGTGAGGGCCCGGTTGCCTGTTTCTCAGTGCGCAAAGGGAAACTGCTTTTTCTGTCTAGTGAACAGTGTTAACTAGATGTTAATGCAAAATTCCTCAACCAGGTACAGAATTTTAGTCCTTACATTGTACCTGAGTGTTACTTGCAGACATAGTGACATTTCACCCCTAAACATTTTAGCATCTGCCTCTTAAAAACAAGGACATTCTCCTACTTAACCACAGTACAATAATCCACTCGGTTAATTAACATTTAGTACAGCACTATCTAATATACAGTGCATATTTAAGTGTTATAGCTCTATGGATTTTTTTTCTCTCTTGTTGGAGGGGGGAGATAGGGATTTAATTAAGATCACATTTAGTTAACTCCTTCGATTAGTCTTTAAGAGTTCCCCTTTGTCTTTCGTGACATTGACATTTTTGAAGAGTCCGAGCAGTGGCTTTTCAGAATGTCCGTAATTTGGACTTGTCTGACTGTTTTCTCATTAGATGTAGGTTAAACATTTTTTGACAAAACAACTACACAGGTGATGTGTTCTTAGTGCATCACAATGGGAGGCACGTGGTGTCTCTGTGTTCCATCACTGATGATATGTCTGCCAGTTTTCTCTGCTTTTCGTCTCTGTACTCAGCAAATAATTCAGGGGAAGCCACTTTAAGAGCATATGGATATTCTAATCTCAACAATCTTTCACCTAATAGTATTAATATCTATTGAGGAAAATTCTTTAATGACAAAACCGGTGATTATTTTTCTAATGTTTTCTGGGTTTTCCAATAAAAATAGCAATTGTTGAAAAGTAATTGTATATGCATTGAAATATTAATACTTTATGTAATGATTTACACATAAGCCCATTGTATCTTTAAAATTAACATTCATTACCTGTATTTATTTACACCCTCAAATATTTTGCAGATATTTCTTAAAAATATATAGTATAACCATTGCTTGAAAGGGACATAATTTTTACATGACCCTTTTAAAATGGATGACTGGTTTACTAGTGTAAATCAGCTCAGTATACGTTTAAATTAATAAATCAGTAAGCATGTATTGAAGGGCATTTAGGCCTACAATGCCAGATGCTCCAATGTCAAAAGAAATAGAAATTAGTCTGGGTGTGGTGGCTCACGCCTGTAATCCTAGCACTTTGGGAGGCCAAGGTGAGAGGACTGCTTGAGCCCAGGAGTTCTAGACTAGCCTGTACAACATACCAAGACCTCGTCTATAATAAAAAGTAATAACAATAAAAAAATTTAAAAAGAAGTAAGAACTAGCACTCCTTGTCCAAAAGAAGCTTTCAGTACTTGCAGATTATCTCACGTTGTTGCTTGGTTTTGATCACCTATTGCTGTGTAACAAATCATCCCAAAATTTAGTGGTTTAGAACAACAACAATCTTTTGTGACTCACAAATTTACAAATTGGGCAGGACTTACTGGAGACAGCTCATGTTTATGCATCACCAATGGGGACAGTTCAGCTTGAGGCTTGGAGGATCCACTTTAAAAATGGCTCACCCACATGGCAAGTTGATAACTGCTTGTTGACTGGAAGCTCAGCTGGGGTTGTTGACCAGGGGAGGTGGTGGGCCAGTTTCTCTCCATGTAGGTGGGCCGCTCAGGCTTTTTCACAATGTGGTGACTGAGTTCCAAGAGTAAGTGTAACGAGAATTGTGCAGAAGCTGTGTGGAAGGCAGAATTCTTTTTTTTCTTTTTTCCTTTTTTGAGTTGGAGTCTCACTCTGTCGCCCAGACTGGAGTGCAGTGGCCACTCCCAGCCACCGCAGCCTCGACCTGCTGGGCTCCGGTGATCCTTCGGCCTCAGCCTTCCAAGTAGCCGGAATTACAGGCGTGTGCTACCACGCCCGGCTAATTTTTTGATTTATTGTAGAGATGAGGTCTCACCAAGTTGTCCAGGCAGGTCTCGAACCCGCAGGCTCAGGCAGGAAGGCAGAATTCTAAGATGATCCTGATGACCCTCACCCTTGTACAATCTCCTGGTGAGTGTGAGCAGAAGCTGTGAATATCATTAGATATTACTCCCATGATTACATGACAAAAGGGGTTTTGCAGATGTAATCAAGGTCTCAAATAAGTGGACCTTAAGATAGGGAGGTGCCCCAAGTGGGCCTGACCTAATCACCTGAGCATTTAAATCTGGATCTAGAGGTCAGAGAGGGATTCAGAGATTCCAAGCATGAGAGGGATTTGACATGAAGGAGCTTCTCCTGGCTCTGAAGGAGGAGGTGACTATGTAGGAAGAAATGCCGGCAGCCCCCAGCTGACAGCCAGCAAGGAAACAGGGACCTCAGTCTTATGACCATAAAGAACTGAATTCTGCTAACAACATAATGAGCTTGGAAGTAGATTTCCCCCAGCCCTCCCAAAACTCAGTCCAGCTAACACCTTCATTTCAGCCATGTGAGACCCTGAGAGAGAATCCAGTCATTCTGTGCCCAGAATCCTGACCTACAGAACCATGAGCTAATAGATGGGTATTGTTTTAAGCCAATAAGTTTGTGGTTATTTATTACACAGCAATAGAAAAATAAGTAACATTGGCTTTATAGATGGTACTAGCCTCAGAAGTCACTCAACATCACTTTCTCCATAGCAACAAGCCCGCCCAAACTCAACGGGAGGGAACACTGACACACCTCTCACAGGCAGGAGTGTCAAAGTCACACTTCAAGAAGAGTATTGAGCCAAACATGGTGGCATGCACCTGTAGTCCCAACTACTTAGGAAGCTGAGGTAGGAAGATCACTTGAGCTCAGGAGCTCGAAGCCAGCCTGGACAACATAGCCTGACTTCATCTTTAAAATACTGTTTCAAAAAAGAAGAGCATGTGAGATGGCAAATATTGTTATTTGGAAAATACAATTTACCATATTACTTAAAAAACAAGCCCTCACCAGACACTGAATCCACTGATGCCTTGATCTTGGAATTCCCAGCCTCCAGAACTGTAAGCAATAAATTTTAGTTGTTTATAAATTACCCAGTCTAAGGTATTTTGTTATTGCAGCCTGGATGAACTAATACACCCAACTTCAGGGTGTTTTGTTTTTGGTAGGAACATGGAAATGATGTAACCCAAGTGCATCACATTGGGAGGCATATGATAATCTGGTTACTAGTGATGTTAAGGTAGTGTTCACCAGGTTTCTCCATTATAAAATTAGTATTTGCCCTTTGTAATTAATAAGTAATTTGTGGGGAGATACTTCGAGACTAGGTAAATATCTATTTCCTCATCAAATATTTAACCCACTGGTTTTAGCATACATTGATGATTCTTGCCTGAATCAAGTATTACTATAATGATCGCAACATTGTATTTTTTAAAAAGATCTTCTGTCCTGTGGTTTAAAGCAATAATAATCAGAAATGTATTTCATTACATTTGTCCTAGACTACTGGGGCCAACATTTATTTAAAAAACAAACATATGACTATTCTTGAACTATGACTGTGAAACAAAACATTTAGGATTTGAGTATTTTATGGAACTTTTTTTTTTTTTTTGCCATATCCTGTGCTGATTTCCTTGGAATGTTGGCTGTTAAATTCTACCAAAGGGAATAAATAGCATTGTGCCTCAAGAGAACTGAATGAATAAAACAATAGGCAGATATATCGGCTCTGCTATCTTCAGATACTGCTGAAAGTGATTTTAGAGCCATCTGTGGCCCCGATTCCAATCTTTTGCCTTCTTCGCTGTTTTTCTCATGTGAATACATTGGCTGAAGACTGGGTGGTTATCCAGCATCTTCCAGTAGCTACAAGAATGTTAGTTAAGTGTGTCGTCCCTGAGTTTCTCTAGCTACACAATGTGCCTTGGTGCTACTCTGGTCTGGGTCCCTCAGTGCAATGAAATGGCAGAAGAGAAATGGTTGGTTGTGTTCTGCCCACGTTGAACCACTGTTTCCTCCAATGTTTTCTTTCATGTTTCTGCTTTATTTCATATTGAAGGAGACTACTAAATGCCCGGCCTGAGACTAGATTGGATCCTGTACTGCAGGGAAACATGTTACACAGGACATTATTGGGACATTTGCAAAATTGGAGTATGGATTATGGATTAAATAGTGGCATGGTCACGGCTCACCACAGCCTCGACTTCCTGGGCTCAGGCAATCCTCCCACTTCAGCCTCCTGAGTAGCTGGGACTACAGTTGTGTGCTACCACCTCCGGCTAATTTTTTAATATTTTGTGGAGACAAGGTCTCACTCATTATGTTGCCTAGGCTGGTCTTGGACTCCTGGGTGCAAGCAATCTTCCCACCTCAGCCTTCCAAAATGCAGAGATTACAGGTGTGAGCCTGACCTGAAGTATTATTTCAATGGCACAGTTCCTGAATTTGATAACTACTATGGTTACATCAGAAGATAGCTTTGTTTTTAGGAAATACACGTTGAATTATTAAGGAATAACACAGAATGATGTGCAACCTAATCCCAAATGGCTCAGATAAATAGTAACGTGTTTGAATATATATATATACACTGTACACAAACA